AAAAAAAAAAAAAAAAAGTCCATTAGAGCCTTATCTCCAGTGAACTACCAGAAAACTGGAAGTAGCACTGTGACTCAAAGTGTTAAAGCCTAAGCCTTGAGCAAAAGTGCTCAGGGACAGTATCCTCATGACTGAAAAAAAAAAGACAGAATATGTTTTACATGAACATGTAGAGCACATCTATATCCTGTCACTCCAGAGACGAAGGCAGTGGAGAGCAGTTTAAGGCCAATGACACCCTTTTTAAAAATAAAAATGGCATGTTTGGGATTTGTTTCAAGGTAAAATGGGATGAAGAGAAGTAGGCAATGGTGTACATATGAAATATGAATGTCTATAAGTTAATGTTGAAATTTGGTAACATGTATGAGGATTCAACTGCTGGATTCTATCTTCTCTAGTTGGAGTAAGTAGTTCAAGTTTTACATACAAAATTTAAAGAATAATTTTTTAAAAACATAGGTACACTCCACCCAGCTTAAGACATAGTGCATTGTCTTACTGAAATCACAATAAATTCTCGACTCACACCTGTCAGAGTATCAAAAAGAACATGGGCACCGGTGGCTTACAACTATAGTCCTTGCTACTCAAGACACTGAGATCTGAGGCTCACAGTTCAAAGCCAGCCCTGGCAGGAAAGTCCATAAGACTTTTACCTCCAATTAACCACCAGAAAACTGGAAGTGGTACTGTGGCTCAAACTGGTAGAGCACTAGCCTTGAGCAAAAAAAGCTCAAGGTCAGTGCCAGGCCTTGAATTCCCCACAATGGGGCGGGGGGAAGGGGGAGGAGGGGAGAACACAGGTGTTCTCAAGGATGTAGAGATGTAGGGACACCTAGAACAATGTGGGTGAAGAGATGTAAATCAATAGTCACTATGGAAATCAATATGATAGCTCTTCAAAAGACTAAAAGTGTTACCACATGATCTAGCAAGCCCTCCTCTGGATATGTAGCCAAGGAAATTATATCAGTATAGCTGTGGATACACCTGCACTCATGTTCACTGTAGCACTTAATTCCCAAGTTGCAGAATCAACCTACCTGTCTATCAACTAATAGGTAGATGATGAAAACATGAGGTATACTCACATTGAAACACTACTTGGCCTTTAAAAACAAGGAAATCCTGTTGTTTAGGATAATATGGATGAACCTAGAGGACTCTGTGCTAATAAATGACCTAGGTACAGAAAGGCAAAAATCCAATATTCTCACTTATGCATGAAATCTGAAACAATCAAACACAAAGAGCAGAATGGTGGTTACCAGGGGCTGGGGAGTGGAGGGAATGGAGAGATGTTGGTCAAAGGGTACAATGGTTCAGCTAGAAAGGAAGAATAAATGGTAAGTATTTGAGATAATGGGTATGTTATTTAGCTTGACTTTAAAATTCTACACTGCTCATCATATCATTTTCTATCTTGTAAACACACAGGATTATAATTTGTCAGTATTCAATTTAAAAAAGGAAGGGGCTGAGAGTGTAGCTCAGTGATAGTTCATTTGTCACGGCCTGGGTTGGAGTCCCCAGCAAGAAAGGAAAGAAAGAAAAGGAAAGGGGTGGGGGGAAGGGAGGAAAGGAAGAAAAAGGAGGGAGGGAGGGAGGGAGGAAGAATTCTCTTTTTAGATACTCTCAAGTTATCTTGAAACTTTAAACTTTAAAAAGTTTCCATTTCATAATATAAAAGAACCTGTGTAATTCCAGACACCTCTGGAATTGATTTAATTCCTAGAAGTTATTTATTTTATCTATACACAAAAATCTCTAAATAACTTTCCGACAATATGGGCAAAACCAAAAATGAACCCCAGAAAATAAACTACTGACACCAAATACAACATTAACCCTATTTCCATAAATACACAGATGTAAGGCTACTAGTTTCTCCTTTAGTTGGAATCTCATTCTATGCTAAAAGTCAAGTATTAGCCAATAACCTAGAAAATGTCAAGATAAAGTCAAAGCCACATTCTACTGAATTCTCACTCTCTTTTTATCTCTATTATCAAGTCTCAGCTCCTCTTGAATCCTAGTTTGAGTATTGGCACAGAGCCTTTTTGGACTTCTGTAGCTTTGTTCCCACATACCAGACTCCAAGAGCATCACAAAGCTATCACTGCCATCACTGTCCACTGAAATCCTGTCTTCAGGACCACTGCTATCCAATGAGACGCCATCAAATGACTGCTGGGATACTGTCCTCTTCATGGAGAAAAATCGGAGTCGGGCAGCACCTCCACTCACTGGGGCTGCCACTCCTTCATCTGTCTTGGCCATAGGCTCCCTATTTAAAAAACACACACACAAAAAAAACAAAAACAAAACAGAAAATAAAATGTACAAATGTGGCTTTGAAAACATTTTGTTCCTATCTCCAGGCAATATACTTCCCAACTCAAACACAAATGTGAACATAAATTTGGCTTTCCTCTGTTGCCTATTGTAAAGGATGAAATTCTTTTCAACCACAAAAGAGAACATCAGGCTGGACACTGGTAATTTATGCCTGTAATCCTAGTTACTCAAAGGCTGACATCTGAGGATCTCTGTTTAAAGCCAGGCTGGGCAGGAAAGTCTAGGAGATTCTTATCTCCAAACCACCACCAAGAAGCTGAAAGTGGAACTGTGACTAAAGTGTACAGCACACCCAAGCCCTGAGTTCAAGCCTCAGGACCAGCACAAAAAAAGGAGACCAGTTACCAACATCCTGGGTGGAAGCTGATGGTACTACAGTCATCCTGTGTGCTCCGGGCAGGAATGCAGAAGAGAGAAAATAATGAGAAGGACGTGCTATGTCTCAAAGAATTTATAATCTATTGGGAGAGAGATTTACACACATATGAGAATAAATCATACCTGCCATAAAAGAAAGGCTAAGTAAAAGAACAAGAAGATAAAAAACAGTTTTGTGAAAGTGATAAGTACAGGGCATTCTACCTGGGGGAGGTGGAGAGGGGATAGCAGGAACAGAGGCACAGAGTCACAGAGTCACAAAGTGAGACTAGAAAGTAAGCTCAGGCTAGCTCTAGTGGGTTTCATTGAAGAGAGCAAAGGAAGTGAAGGAAACTCGGTTGGGTATTGGATACCAGACAGGAAAGGGGAGACTAATGAAGGTGAATGAGGATGAATGTGCTCAAATAAGTTTATTTGCATATAGAGCAATAAAAATGGTTCTAATTGTCTTAGAGATATAGGTATGGGTGAATAGTAGAGGAAGCGAGTTTGATCAGGATACATGGTATAATTGTATGGAATGTCACAATGAAACACCCCCTCTTGTAAAACAAATGTATGCTAATTTTAAAACACAAATTCCAAAAATATGCTGAAAATGAACTCACTAGCAACTTTAACTGCCATGGGAGTCCAGATGGACTGAAAAGAGACCACCAGTTTGGGCAGTTAGAAAGTCATTATTGAGGGGCTGGGAAGGTGGCTCAGTGGTAGAGCGCTTGCCTTGCATGCATGAAGCCTTGGGTTCGATTCCTCAGCACCACATAAGCAAAAAGAAAAAAGCCGGAAGTGGAGCTGTGGCTCAAGTGGTAGAGCGCTAGCCTTGAGCTGAAGAGCTGAGAGACAGCGCCCAGGCCCAGAGTTCAGGCCCCACGACCGGACCCAAAAAAAAAAAAAAAGTTAAAAAAATAAATAAATAAAAAGAAAGTCATTATTGATGTCTCAAAAGAGCTGTATCACATGCTTTTCCTTTGCCTTTTTTACCTCTTCCTTTCCCCATGTATCTTTATACTGTCCATTTAGACAATTTTGGGTGGGGAGTTGTTTTGATTTGCAGTAATAGGGATCCAACTCAAGGTCTTGCACGAACTAGGCAAGCGCTTTACCACAGAGCTACATTCTCAGCCTACTCGTCTCCATTTAGAAAAGGCAGCACAACAGACCGGTGATGTGGCTCAAGAGGTAGAATGGAAGCATGGCCCCTTAGGTCAATCCTCAGTATGGCAGAGAAGGATGGAGGGAAGGTAGGAAAGGAGGGAAGGAAAGCTGAAAGGAGGGAGGGAAACAAGAGAGAGCAGGCACACACTTGGGGATTAGAAAGTCCACCAAAAAGAATATACAAAAGCTGGGACATGGTGGTGCATAACTATAAGCCCAGAACTCAAGAGGCTAATAAAGAAGGATCATAAGTAACAACAAACAAAAAAATAGTATTTGTGCTAGGTGTGGCTCAGTAGTAGTGCGCTTAGTATTCATGACACCCTGGGTTCAATCCCCAAGCACCAAAAAAAAAAAAAAAAGACAAGACAAGCATAGTGACGCATGCCTGTAATACCAATACTTGGGAGGTAATAGCAGGAAGATCATGAGTTCAAAGACCATCCCAGGCCAGCCTGGGCTACATTAGCTTACAAATAAATAAACAAAAGTAAATCCAATAAAAATTATATAGATCCAGGAACTGTTCTTCTGATATAACATCTATATCAATAATTATAAATCAGTAAAAGAGAAGATAATCTAATTCTAAGAGGTAATGAACATTGACTTGACAATTGCTCATTGAGCTGGCCATTCTGTGTTCTCCTGGACTACATCATGGTGCTTTCAGTGTAGCCAGAAGGAAACTTTAACCCCAGTGGTTAGAACTTGAGGAGACAGGGGAACTAAAGGAGGCAAAGAACCACTCACTTGGCAGGGGGCAAGGACAACATCTTGTGCACTGTGGAGGTCATTCGGTCCCTTCCCAGACTGAAGGCATCCTTAGTTAAGGATACAGCTTCCTTGGTGAGGTCCATGGTGGCATGCAGAGCTTCCTTGGTAGCATCTTTGGTCATGTGAATAGCACTCGATAATTCTCCCTCAATGTTCTTCACGGGGATGGGGTCTCCTGGCCCGTTTACAGCAGGAACCTTGCCAGCTGGAGACTTCAACACAGTTGGTGAGGTGGAGGCTTGGGCTCTGCTCAGCTGCTTAGCCTGTAGGGACTCTACTGCCTCATGGCCCTTTCTTGCCAGTTGCTGTGCAGGTGGACCTGAGTCCTGCAGCTCTCCATTACTATGTGGCTGAGCTGCACCAACATTTTCAATGTTACTGTTCTCAAGCACCTTCTCAGGGCTTGCTGGGCCCTGGTCTGACGAGGCATCAGACTTTAGTTCCTGATCCTCTGATGGAGACAGCTCTGAATCTATGAGGCTAGTGGTATCTGAACCTGCAGAGTCACCATCCACAGTCCCAGAGGTAGGATGCATGAGCAGTGCTACCTCAGCACTAGGAAAGAAGACACCAATGCAAGCTGTCTGGTCCTGTAGGGGAGATCCAGTCATGGCCTCAGTGTCCTTAGTCAGCTGCTCCTGAAGCCCCTGCAGCACCTCCTTCAGTCGGAGCAAGGCCAGGTACTGGTAGTGGTCGAGTCTCACGCAGACGTGGGCAGGGGAGTGTACAAGCATGTGAACATCTGCTACATCCTCCAACTCTGTCAGAGGTCCTTTGTTGTCCACAGCACCACGGCCTTCTCTGATAATCTCTACGACTTCTGGAAGACCTGACAGGCTTTTTAAATCGTGCTCAGTCTTTGACCTCTGATGAGGCACAGTTTCAGGGGCAAGGGCTTCAGAAAGGACAGGGCTGCCAAAGCTAGCAGATGGTTTCAGCCTCCCCTCTGAGGCCAAAAGGAGCTTCTGTGCCTGGGCTTGCTGCCAGCGGAGAGGCAGACAGGCCCAAATGGACAAAGGGAAGGGGGCCACAAAATTCAAGGTATGGCCTTTGAAGTTCTCTGTTCCTTCAAAGTCTAGGGAGATCTGGGTGAAGTAGATGGACCAGAGGTCTTGGGAAGCCTTAGGCTTTTGGGGAGGGTGAGAAGAATGGGAATCCATCTGGAAAGCATGATGTATAAAGAGCATGTGCAGAAGACTAAAGCCACCAGGAACCTTAGGAAAGTGGTCATAATTAGAATGAAAGAACTCAGCAGCAGCAAAACCCCGGAAGAGACTCTGGAGGTCTGGACAGCTACAGTGTGGGGCATGACGTGTGTTAGTGGCAATCATGCCTGATGCAGAGAAGACAAGCGCTTGGGGTCGATGCAACTCCGCCTGCGGTCTCTTTTCCAGCGGGAAGCTCACCTTCAAAGAGAAAATAAAACGTAGTTCAGAATGGCTCATGTGAAAGACCATTTGGGTTGGGAAGCTGTTTTGCTTTCACTTCCACCAAATGGACAGATGGAGGATAGTCATGGGGAAAATGCAGCTATGGTTATCAACAGGGGACAAAAATCCCACTTTCCCTACCTTCATCCGGAAGGCATCCAGTCGAATGTCCAAGTGCTCATTTTTCTGTCTTGAATCTTCCAGCTTATAAATAGCTTTGAATTGCTCCAAGCTACGGTATAAATCTAGGCAGAAAAGGTTTCCCCAGAGCAAACTAACAGGATCCACAGTAAATGTCAGACCATTTAACTGAATGTAGAGATTGGGACAGGGAACTGTAATGCAGAAAGAAAAGAATCATCAAGTATAAAGCAGCGGCTAGTAAGAGCCCTCTTATTTACTAGCCAGTATTTATTTTGTTGTCAATACAGCAAAGATACATATTCATACAGGGCAGTTTTTTGTTTTGTGTGTGTGTGTGTGTACGCACATATGCACACGTGTGCATGCACACACGCACGTACGTGCTGGAGCTTGAACTCAGGGCCTAAGCACTATCCCTAAGCTTCTTTTGCTCAATGTTAGCACTCTACCACTTGAGCCACAAACTTTTTTGGTAGTTTATTGGAGTTAAGAGTCTCAGGGATGGGCTGGGAAGTTGGCTCAGTGCTAGAGTGCTTACCTACATGCATACTGCCCTGGATTCAATTCCTCAGCACCACATAAGCAGAAAAAAAGGCAGAAGTGGAGCTGTGGCTCAAGTGGTAGAGTGCTAACCTTGAGCTTAAGAGCTAAGGGACAGCACCCAGGCCCAGAGTTCAGGCCCCATGACTGACCAAAAGAAAAGTCTCAGGGAATCCAGGCACCAGTGGCTCACCCCTATAATCCTAGCTAATCAGAAGGCTGAGATTTGAGGATTGTGGTTCAAAGCCAGCCTGGGCAAGAAAGTCCATGAGACTCTTATCACCAATAAGCCACCAGAAAATCAGAAGTGGTGCTGTGGCTCAAGTGGCAGAGCACTAGCCTTGAGCTGAAGAGCTGAGGGACAGCACCCAGGCCCAGAGTTCAAGACCCACGACCGACCAAAAAGAAAAAAAAGTCTCAGGGATTTTCCTGCCTGGGCTGGCTTCAAACCACAATCCTCAGATCACAGCCTCCTGAGTAGCTAGGATTACAGGTGTGCAAATTTATGCAAAAATCCTAACAACACATACAACAAAGCTGACAAAGTTTAAACAGAAGAAACGGCCAGCACTCATGCTCACCTGGAAGCTCCTGATTATCTGGAAAGTAATACTCTGTGAACTCAACATGAATGGCAGAGACCTGAGTAGGGAGGTTGTGGAGTTTGCGACTGCAGGAAAGAAGTGTAGATGGCTTCTTACTGGGCTGTCCAGCTGTAGAAACCTAGGCAATCACAATTTACTATTAATACCTAGAGCAGTACTCACAACAGAATTCTTTCCTCTGAGAAGTACCTGCTCCATCCTTCCCTGTCACAGTGCTTGTCATGCATTCCTAAAATTTTCACACCTGCCTGGAATCCTCCCCAAGTTACTTTTTCAGCAGGAGGTTGTAGTAAGTCATTCAGGAAAAAACTAGGAGACTTTCCAAGTCCTTTTCTTAGAAGAAACAGACCCAACTGTCAATCTACTCAGAACTGAAGCAAATAGTCCCTGGATTCCAGTTTGTTCACACTGTGCTAGATGTCTTCTAAGTGAACTTTCTAACCATGTTTCTAATGTCCTTACCTGGTGGATATCCAGGTCATCCACTCGCACAACCATGCAGCTAGAGCGTAAGCGATTCCATGCTGGAGGTCCAAAGGCAGCCTGTCTGCCCTGAGAAGGATTTTTTTCAAGAGAGTTCTTTCGTGGACTAGAAAATGAGTCTAAATATAAAAAGACGGGAATTCTATTAATTCACTCTTGATAGAATTAGGAAGGTGAAAAATCCTAAAATCATTAATGCTGTAAGTAGAAGTGTTTAACCTAGATGGAACCCAATCAAATTCTCCTTAAGACCAAGGTAGCATAAAAGACCATTGACAGATAATGACAGCTTCCCTCTAACATGACAGCTACCTTTAGAAAAAGTGACATAAATAAGAAAAAATACACCATCACACCATGTGATAATTAGATATGTTACTGTTTTATCTCCATTGTTTCTCAAAGACAAATGGCAAGAGGTTAAGCAACTACAGTCTTGCAGTTTCTTTTAACCCACCTGCCTTCTTCCGGAAGGAAGAATCTACCCCCAGGTGCCAGGGTGATTTCAGACCTGTCTCTTCATGCCACTTCTCCATTTTACTCTGAAATTCCATCACCAGCTTCTGGGCCCAGTGACCTCGGGTTTCCATGGCCTCACAGTGCCTTACCCAATGTTTGCAGCTATCACCTGTGCAACACAGAAGCAAAAAGAATTCAGCTCTAAATCATGGTCCAATGTTCCAATTTTTCCTTCCTGTCAGTACAGTCACAGTTCATTCCCAATCCTACAAGAATTCTCTTTAGGATAAGGAAAAGTTACCCACTGAGCACAACCAAGTTTTTCTGAACTCTACATGTAAGTTTTCCCTAAGAATGCTAAAGGCCAGCTGCTGACTGCTGTCATCTTTGACCATGGTCTACTGGAAAGACTGTAAACCTAGTGGAGATAAGAAGCTGGAAGGCAGAATCAAAAGCAACACATTAGCTGAGCTCACACCTGTAATCCTAGCTACTCAGGAGATCTGAGGATCACAGTTCAAAGCCAACCCAGGCAGGCAAACTTGAAAGACTCATAATTCCAATTAGCCACTAAAAAGGTGGAAGTGGAGCAGAGGCTCACACACTAACTAGCCTTGAACACAAAAGCACACAGGCCCTGAGTTCTAAGCTCCAGGACAGGCACAAAAAAGCAGCACCTTAGGCACTTGTTCCCCACTTCCTCTCATCAATCATCAGTATGAGACCATCCAGGTTTCAGAAGATGTCCTCTTGGATACTCCCAACATCTCTCTGAGCATGCACTGCAATCTCTGACACCTCCTAGTCAGTCAGGGATGAAACCAGGAATCCATCCTTGATATTCTTACTCATGCTACAACTGAACCCATTCAGATTTCTCCTAACCTGCCCAGTGGAAGGGGTAGTAGTCAAATGCCATCCTGCGGAAAGTAAGCTGCATGGCACCGCCCATGAGTCTGTTTGCAGAGACACCTACAAGAGAAAAATATGGGTGAATAGCACTGGAACAAAGAAGCCTAACCACCACCTGAAGGATTTAGGAGTCCTCTGGAAGGACAGCATGAAAGCCCAGTTGGTGATACCATGTAGCTCAAAGGCCATTATGCCAGGTGATTTTTAAAACTTCAGCCCTACTCTTTTGAGTTTCAGTAGTAAACAGACATTCTCTAAAAGATCCTCCTTTTCAAAATTAAAAAAGTAGAAGAGCGGGCACCAGTGGCTCATGCCTGTAATCCTAGCTACTCAGGAGGCTGAGATCTGAGGATCACCATTCAAAGCCAGCCAAGGCAGGAAAAGCTGTGAAACTCTTATCTCCAAAAACCCACCAGAAAACTAGAAGTGGCCCTGTGGCTCAAGCAGGAGAGTGCTAGCCTTGAGCTGAAGAGCTGAGGGACAATGCTCAGGCCCAGAGTTCAAGCCCCAGGACCGACAAAAAAAAAAAAAAGAGTACTTCATTGTCTCTATTTTAAATGGCTGACAGGTTTCAAATATTCACAGAGTAAACCACATACCAAGGTATGATCAGCTAGGTTATAGTCTCATATTTAAAAATACCTCATTCAGCCAGGTGCTGGTGGCTCACACCTGTAATTCTAGCTACTCAGGAGGATAAGATCTGAGGATTGCTATTCAAAGCCAGGCTGGACAAAGAAGTCCATGAGACTCTAATCTTCAATTAATCAGCAAAAAGCCTGAAGTAGAACTGTGGTTCAAGTGGAAGAGCGCTAGTCTTGAACAAAACAAGCTCAGAAAAAGTGCTCAGGCCTTGAGTTCAAGTACCAGGGCTGGTGCACATACGCACATGCACACACACACATGCACACACACACACACACACACACAAAATCTCATCCAAAACTCCCTTAAATTGCACCAAGCAGACTGATTTAATTTAAAAATATAAAGTCTCCCTTTCCCACAGTATAACCCCTGTTTTCACTGTATTTGATGTTGGTATAATTTGTAGAGGGGAAGGGAGAAAACAAATTGTTTAAATAGGGATACAGGTGGACTCATTGCAATAATGAGATGTACAAGACGTTATGTCGAAAAACGAACTTTAGGGGCTGGGAAGGTGTCTCAGTGGTAGAGCGCTTGCCTTGCATGCCTGAGGCCCTGGGTTCGATTACTCAACACCACATAAGCAAAAAGAAAAAAGCCAGAAGTGACGCTGTGGCTCAAGTGGTAGAGCGCTAGCCTTGAGCTGAAGAGCTGAGGGACAGTGACCAGGCCCAGAGTTCACGCCCCATGACTGGACCCAAAAAAAACAAAAAACAAAAAACAAAAACAAAAACGAACTTTACAACTCTGGCGGGGCGGGGGGGGGGCGCCGGGGGGGGGGGGGGACGACAAAGGAGGAGGCAACAATTTGTAACTGCTCTGTAAGGTATTTTCACAATTAAAAAAAAAATTAAGTTTATAGTCATTCATGTCTTAGCATGAATTACATGGCCTGGATACTTGGAGAAGACTGTGCTGCACATCTCTTATTAACAAGCAATATAACCAAACTCTCATTTATTTGCTCTTAAGACTTCTGAAAGGACAAAAAACAAAAAGAGAGGAGGGTATGACTCAAGTGGTGGAGCAAGTTTGAGGGCCAGAGTTTAATTCCCCGTACTGAAAAAGGAAGTAGCAGAAAG